TATATTTGTTTAAACTCTCTTTACACCCCGACAGCAATCAAGAAATCAAATGCACTGACAAAAAAAGGAAAAAGAAATATTGGTGGCATTCATTCCAGCTTGTCTACAATATGATGTGTTTGTGTTCATAATGATATTTTTGGATGAGATATTCATTCAATCCTCACTTTTTGCACACAAAAGAAACACTCAAATGATTCATCAATGAGGAAAATAGATGCCAATTAATTTTCTTAATCAACTTATCTATTCGTTTACGAACTGTAGAAGATTTGTTTTGATTTCCTCCAAGCCATTTCAAAAGATTATGCTGGCAATATTCTATATTTGTTCTCAATTTATTAAGCCCCTAAAAATGACCAAATAATGAATTTCTTCTACTAACAAGTATTTTCTGTCGGCAAAGCGCGATATATCTCGTTATTTTGTTCCACAGATCTCCACTATTGTCCAACAACTACCAATAAAACAAACAATTGTTGCAGTGGGTGACATATTCCTTTAGTGCAAAGAACATGGGTACTTTATATTGAGTCAGTTCTACAGACTCACCGAACGTGTATTCATCTGCAGCCAGAAATAGTCCCCTAATAATCCGTTTAGTCCTGTTTGAGTGAACTACAGTTCCCAGATGTTTTAGGATAGTACTAAGCCTTTGTAGCAGAACAAAAGTGTGCATTTCTGACCAAAAGATTTAGCTGTTCAATAGTAACAAATAGGCTTCGGGCTGAGTTCCACAGGCGCAGTAGGAAAGTCAGTAAGTATTGACAGATGGACTAACTCAGCATTGGTTTTGGTCTCTTCCTGGGATTTGTTGACAACAATAAAAATGGATTTGGATTTAGATATCACCAGCATTACCTTTTCACAATATCTCTTGTGTTAAGTTTGTTTGCTTTTTAGCTTAGGTCATTGTTTATTGTCTATACTGCATATGCAGTTATTTATCTGTGTCTCGTAGGCACATTGGGCATCATGCACAACCATTCCTGCAAACAGATTTGTTGTTAAGGGGCACGTACGAGTGATTTAGGGGAAGTTATTTAGAAATTTCTCGTAAGTAGGAACACAATATATGAATGGTCCAGACTGTCATGTGCAATTAGTCTGCTGTTATCCAAGCTTAATTGTTTTACTAATGGGTTGTATTTAATTACTTTGAAGCAATTTTGAAAACTCTATACAAATTACATAAAAATGACTGTTTGACTGCAATTTGAATTACAAGCTAATATAATTCAAAATGTACTCATATAGCCTAACAATATCACCATTAGTTTCCATTGGCTCCTGATGCTATTGTATAATTCTTTATTATCAATATAAACATCTCAAACTACAAAACGACTTAAATTATTCGACATCCTCTCGTTGTAGTGATCGATCGCCTTGCTGTGGCGAAATGTTTTTTTATATACTGAAACATTTCTTTTTTTATTTCAGTGACAGTCCGACCCTCAGGTGACACATTAACCGCACTGGTTACGTTTCCCCATTCCTTGTTTTTAACAGGTCCCTTAATTTTGCTGCTATAGACGCTGTTTAAAGAAAAAAAAGTTTCGGCGATCCTTTCTGGATCGCCGAAAGCAGGTCTTCAATACAAGACATATGGGGCAGGATGTGTAGCCTTATGTGGTATTATTGAGGTGTCAATTAGGCAAATTTTTAATTGTCATGAACGAACAGGTGGCATCCACCATGTTTACGCTGGTCATTTACACAAGTGTTTGATGTTCTTAATCTGAGGGGGCACACTCGTACGAAAGAAAGAAAGAAGAAGTTGAGGTCTGTTATCTGCACATATGTTTTGTAAAACCCAGATGGCCCGTGAGGTTACAGCATCAGCACAAACGAGGACACAAGACATGCAAGGAACGTATGCAAATGTAATGAATCAGTATTGTGTTGAATGAATTAGCAGGGACATTCAGTTCAACGGACAGCCCACTAATCGGCCACAGGCTTCTTTCTCCATCATGATGAGGGACTTGCCACATTTCATTTCTTCATTTTTTACCCACTTTATCAGTTCAACACCCACTGGATCAACTGCAAATGACTGATTAGTAAATTGCATAATAAACAATGTCACTTACATTATTTGGCCTTTGTCTAGAAGTCGTGTGCCACACATTTTCTGTCTGATTGTAAAAATGCAAATTGAGATGTTTGTCGCTTGCTTGGAATAATCTTATTGAACATAAAACAGTCCAAATCCCCCCACATAGAACTCTGAGGGGAAATGTTTAATATGCCAACAAGCAAACACAAACATCAAAATCAAAAAAAAATGTGCCTGCAAAGCAAGTTGCTCAATAATGCAACATTTCTTGTTACGTTTCATCCTCATGAATGGATAATCTTTGTCAATTTGACTTGCGTGGAGCAGTGTTAACATATTTATTCTTGTATTCGTGCCATGGGACTATTTTTTTTGTTACCTCATTTCTTGAGTTGTAGTCATTTGTATCACAGACTTTCGAGCTTGCTTCCGCAGTGTGTGGGTATGTCCAAGCTAACGCATGTGGCCAGTTGGAGTGGAATGTCATTGCTTGCAGTGCACAACACTGACAAGACTCTAATCATCTGACATTGTAGTTTAAATGCTCTGAAAGACTCTGCTTTATACAAGCCTCCTTGCTGTGTGCGCCGTGATTGAGACACAAGTTACCCTTGCACTTTTCCAACAAACTCATTAGAACAAACAGATTTGGCAAATCACAGTCGTGTCGGAGATAATGCCAGTGGCTGCTGGTGCAGTGAGCAGAAAAGTAAGGGTCGGTGTGTTTTTATGTTGTGGAAGGATTTTAGATGTAAGCGGCTACTGCTTTCAGAGGCTGTGAATACATGTTGAGCATGCCGAGATGGAATTAATCCACTCAGTGTTGCGCCGACAAAGGCAGGAAATATGTTTGAAGCATTTTTTTTCTTCTTCTGCAAACCCTTCTGTGCTGATAGACTGTATTCAGATACAATGTTTTATGAAAAAGGCATGTGCACAAAGCTACAATTACTCTGTGAGTGGTAGATCAACATGCTAATTGCTGAATTTGCTATTATTCTTAAAGCATTCCGGTGGAAATGCAAAGAGAGATTTGTTTCTGACAGCTGACATTCTCCATCCGCGTGTTTGCCACGTATGACATTTTCTTCTCTTAGATGGCAACGCAGAGTTGTTGTAATTCCAGCCAGACAAAATGAGCCCCTGCCAGTGGGAGGCCTCATTCAACCGATTCCCCCAGCAGAGGTGCATCTCTCTGCAAGCCTCCCAAACACCTCGGCTTAGCGTGGCAGCCTGGCTCGTGCAAAAAAAAAAAAAAACCAAGCACATGCAAGGCTCATTTCTACTGATTAGGCCAGCCACTCATCCTCACCGGAGAACATTTCCACTTTAGTTAACAATTTTTACAGTTTAGAAAACACCTGTCATAATAGACTCGTTTCCTCTTGCTGGTGGGTTGATGGAAAGAGAAGATTAACAGATAACTTGAGATTGAAGAGTTGGAAAGAGACAGGGGGAAATACTTAAACGTAAGGACCCAGTAGGCAAGGTTAATGTCTCTTGCACTAGGCGAGAGTGCTTCGCTCTTGGCAAAGACGCTGACTGCACTGAAGAACGGTGACTGTATCATTTAATAGAAAAGCGTGATACAATGCTGTCACATTTTATAATTTCCCAGCATATATGATATGTTTGGAATACAGTGCATATTGATTTATTTGTTGGTTGCCATCTTTGCGGGCAGGAGATAATAAGGGGTGATAGCAACACATCAACACTGCTGTGTGAAAGTGAAAGGTACATGCTGTACTGTATGTGTATGAATGTCTCGGTCTATTTTTATCTTGCGCACACTCAGGCATATTCTTAGACACTTAGGCTGAATGGACTAATCTAATCTAATTGGATCTAATCTAAGATAACAGAGTAACGAGTTTCTTGTCAGTCACTTGATTTGGGAGATAATAAATCCTGCTATAGTTATAGAAGGGCAATATCAGGCCTCTCCACACTATCGAATCACGCTGTTTGTGAGATTTCGGTGTGACAATAAATTGGATCGTAATAAAAAGTAAACAGCTCTGCAGTACTGCTTTGAGTGAAAAAAGGCATTAATCATGAATCAATGAAAAGTGTTGTTTTTGTAACCCCAGGGAATGAATCACAGATAAATAATTTCAAAGGCAATAAAAAGGATGTAGAATATTATAGTAAAATGTCGAAGTAGAGAGAAATTAGCCTCATTGTTTTGTCACTGGATAACATTTATCACTGACTTTGTTCATGTAATGTTGTGCTTTACATTAAGATATGAGCTCTATAGCACAATTTCAAGCAAGAATATGTGGACTTCCTCTTTGTTTGCATGCATGCATTTTGCAGGTTGCATTCGTTTTTACATTGTTGTTAGCATGGACATTTATTCTGTATAGATAAGATTCATTGTGACAGTGCAGGGCCACATTCATTGAGTGTAATGCTACAATTGCAATGTTAAAATGGTCTGTGACTTAGGCTTTGGGTATTAAATAATTCTAGGATCCCTACAAGAAATTTAATTTAAATTTAATTTAATATCAGAAAGTTCTCGTTTTTCATTTTCGGTCTCCGGTGCAGATGCATCAGCTTCGGTGAAGTCTGGAAATGGTTAGAGAGCTAACAAAAAACTGTTTTATATTCTACATAAGGGCGACATATGATAATCAATTGAAGCCTGTTAATTCCTTTAGATCTTGTTTCTTCAACATTCTATGCACATTGTAGCATTTTAATTAGATTAGGGCTGCAAGTAATTATTATTTCCATTGTCAATTAATCTGTTGTCAAGTTTTTGATGAATTGTTTGGACTATATGTCGGGATAAAAAGGGTGAAAAACACCTGTTATAATTTACCAGATCTCCAAGTTGCATCTTCATCAATTTGTTTGTTTTCTGTCAGTTCATTTTCTGTCTACTTTATGTGATTACTAAATATAATTCTCCTTTCTCTTTCTGCAGAGAACACAAACAGCAGATGAACTATGAATGCTGAACAAAATGATCTCCTCCCTCCAGCGCCAGACAATGAGAGGTCGTAGGCTGAAGGGGGCGCTGTCCAACCCCCTCTTTGTGCTGCTTTTGGCCCTCCAGATCCTGGTGGTGGCAGGACTGGTTCGCGCTCAGACCTGTCCTTCCGTCTGCTCATGCAGCAATCAGTTCAGCAAAGTCATATGCACCCGCCGCAGCCTGCGGGATGTCCCGGATGGCATTTCCACAAACACTCGCTACCTGAACCTCCAGGACAACCTCATCCAGGTCATCAAGGTGGACAGTTTCAAACATCTGCGGCATCTGGAGATCCTGCAGCTGAGCAAAAACCACATCCGCAACATTGAAATTGGCGCCTTCAATGGACTGGCCAGTCTCAACACCTTGGAGCTCTTTGATAATCGGCTTACGACAATCCCCAATGGAGCATTTGAGTACTTGTCCAAGCTAAAGGAATTGTGGCTACGGAACAACCCTATCGAAAGTATACCATCTTATGCCTTCAACCGGGTCCCTTCGCTCCGAAGGCTGGATCTAGGTGAGCTCAAACGTCTCTCCTACATTTCTGACGGAGCCTTCAAGGACTTGAGCAACTTGCGCTACCTGAACCTGGGAATGTGCAACCTCAAGGAGATACCCAACATCTTACCCTTGGTCAGGCTTGAGGAGCTAGAAATGTCAGGAAACCAGCTCTCCGTCATCAAGCCCAGCTCATTTTTAGGATTAGTGAACCTCCAGAAGCTGTGGATGATGCACGCCCAGGTCCAAACTATCGAGAGGAATTCCTTCGATGACCTTCAGTCACTGGTGGAGCTCAACCTGGCTCACAACAACCTTACCTTTCTACCACATGACCTCTTCACGCCGTTACATCGCCTGGAGCGGGTCCACCTCCACCACAACCCTTGGAACTGCAACTGTGATATCCTGTGGCTCAGCTGGTGGCTGAAGGAGACTGTACCTGCCAATACCAGCTGCTGCGCCCGGTGCCATTCTCCTGCAGTCTTTAAAGGTCGCTACATTGGGGAATTGGACCACAGCTACTTCCAGTGTGATGTTCCCGTCATTGTGGAGCCACCCAGTGACTTGAATGTGACAGAGGGCATGGCTGCGGAGCTTAAATGTCGTACGAGCTCGCTGACATCCATCAGCTGGCTCACGCCAAATGGCTCGTTGGTGACACACGGGGCTTATAAGGTGCGTCTGTCTGTACTAAATGATGGGACATTGAACTTTACAAGCGTCACAATGCAGGACACTGGGACTTACACCTGTATGGTTAGCAACACAGCTGGCAACATTTCTGCCTCTGCTGTGCTTAATGTCACTTCAGTGGAAAACAGTGGGGTGACCTATTTTACCACAGTCACCGTTGAGACCATTGAAACCCCAGGGGATGATAACCAAACTCCGCTTCCCCCATTTGGCTGGGTGTCAACCTCGACGACAAGAGGTACTCCCGTTTTAACAAGGACCACAGAGCGGACTTACACAATTCCAGTTCTTGATCTGGATGGAGAGGGAGCCCTCAATGGCCTGGATGAGGTGATGAAAACCACCAAGATTATCATCGGCTGCTTCGTGGCCATCACGCTCATGGCTGCTGTCCTGCTAGTCATTTTCTACAAGATGAGGAAGCAGCACAACCAGCAGGATCCCGATGGCCCCGCTTCCTCCATGGAGGTCATAACAGTTGAAGAAGAGCTTGCAGGTGTCGCTGCCATGGAGAGGCACCTATCTCTGCCCCCTCTCGAGCACTACAACCACTACAACACCTACAAGAGCTCCTACCACCACGGTCCTATGCTCAGTAGCATACACAGCTCAGCCACACAGGAACCTTTACTGATTCAAGCCTGCTCAAAAGACAATGTACAAGAGACCCAAATCTGATCTTGAATTTGACTAAGCATCCAGTATCAGCAGTTTCATACTTGGAGTACAATGGACCAAAACCTGAAGATAAAAAGGAGGCAAAATTACATTGACTTGACAAAGTTGATGGCGTAAATCAGCATTTGGCAAAGGGACGACATATGATACTTTAACAAGTGTCTTTACAAAAACAAAGATTATTTATTAAAAGTATGTCTAGTGGCTAAATGAAGAAAAACATTTTGTGATAGCTTTTTAGCTCATTTTATTTCTCTCTCTCTCTCTCTCTCTCTCTCTCTCTCTCCCCTCTGTGTAATACTGCACAAGGGAAGGAATGGTTTACAGAACCTGAATGTGGAATATATCAAATGCAGCTCATGTGAAACCACTGTAGAAATTGGTCTTGAACAAAAATGAATGCAATGCCATCGATTTAATGCTTTGATTTTACCTGATAAGAAGTTTTGTTAAAGGGCATTGCTTTAGTATTTATAAGCATTTATGAGCATCTATTTGTTCAGCACACCACGTCCCATTTCGGCGGAGGTTTACGAGAGACAAAACCCAGAATGTGGTTATGTTCATTGCCATCATATTCTAGCTGTCACTCAACGCAAAATTGGATTTTTTAATGACACAGCTCTGGATGATATCACAGTGAAGCCAGCATGCCTGAGGAGCAGAGCAGCCAAATTAGTAACTGTGCATTTCCCCCGTGGCTCCTAAACAACAGCCATACATCCTTCACTTTAATTAAGATTAGGTTCCATGCTCCCACTCCTCCTACCTACCTTTCCTTTACACTTCAACCTTTACTACTTCACTCTCCTTCTACTCCTCCTCTCCTCTGTCTGAGTGCTTCGTCTTCCCCGTCTACCCTCTCTCCTTTCCTCCGTGTCCTATCGCTTCTTTGATTGTCTCTCTGTCACTTAGCTCAGGCACGTTCCTCACCCCCCTCGCCATGTCTCATTTGTCTCGCTTTATCCGCCGGCGTGTGCTGCACGACGGCAGAATATTGCTCGGGAAAATGAGGGGGAGCATAAGGCTGCAGTCTGTAGCCTCCCTGTTAACCCAGTAATGATCTACGTCCACTCAGTGTCGCGTTACCTTGCCATCACCCCCGGGGTCACACAAGCTCAGGCGCTGATGGTCCATCTGTTATACAGATAAAGAGGCAAATGAGGCTGCTTTGTAATGTAGTGTGACCCTGTCAGACTAACACAGACTGGGGCTAACATAGTCAGTGAGGCAGTTAGGGAACCTGCAACAAAATAAGAGGAGATGGGTTATAGCTCATTAATCTGTATCAGCAGTTCATTTGCAGACGAACAGAGGAAAGCTGATAACGGAACAGCGAGAGACTTTTCCACTCTCCCTGTGCCCAACATCTAACCGGGGTGAGGGGCCTTTGATATCCAAAGCAACCGTTGCTCAGTTTAATTTGTGTCTGAGAAAAACTCGCCCACTTTGATGTTGCATCATTGATAGACCATCAGAACATCGTCTCTCCTGTAGTCTGTTTACACTTTGCTTTTTTTCATTTAGTCTTTCAAAGAGGAAGGCTCAAGGAAAAGGGAGGCAGGGATGAAAATTGTAGAACAGTGGGGGGGAAGTGTGTGTGTGAAGGGGGGGCAGACCCACAACGGCCATGAGGGGTCTTCAAACAGATATATTACAGATATGAAGGGAGAGGAGTGGGGGGGAAAAAAAGAGATAAGAAATAAGGAGGCAAAACTAGCCATCAGACTGTCGCCATGGAAACTGTGACCTTGTGCAGAAAGTAAGACGAGGTAGATGCCATTCGCTTTGGTCTCCGCGCAACGAGCATATTTTAATTTCCCACTGGTCGATTTCACAAATGTGACAGATTTATCGACGTAACTGGCATAACGGAGTGCGTGTTTACAAATGGTCTTGATGAGATTTGACCCACACGCAACGTCAACTTTTTTTTGCAGAGCAACGCGCTGTTTCAAGTTAATCAAATGAAAATATCGCCGCATGATGTGAAAAATTAAACATGGCTGTCCGGCAGCTCCTCTCGCCTTATCGACTTGCACCTCAGTACAGACAGCTACCATATAGCTTGAAGTGTGAATAAAAAAAACGTCACTCACACAAAATCATGCTGCTTCTTATCAGTCAGTCTCCTGAATCTATTCTTTGACTCGATACAATAACTGAATGGCGAACAAAGACGGTGGAGGTGAAATATACATTTAAAGACAGGTCCTGTCTGATGAGGGAGAGACAGTGGAGCAGGCACAAGTGAAACAGAAAGCTATTCATCGTCAGCCTTTCACGAGCGTTGTGACCGATGAGAACAGTGCAGTCGATGGTCACGTCGTGGTGTGAACCATTCTTTCCCTTTCCACTGTTTTCTTTTTTCAATGCTCAAATCCTTTTCAATGCTTTTGGTGGCTTAATGATTCAATGTTGACGCTGGCTACAGTGAAAAAAAAAAAAAAAAAAAAAGGTTGAGATTTTTTTATATATATATTTGGGGATGAGGGTTGTGAGCTATTCATAATGAATGGAATATATCTCTGTATTGGTATTTGCTGGAGCCGGATGGCTTTATGTGGAGAGATGTTTGAATGCCAGAATGAAATTAAGCCTGACCCGCAGAATGTTGGACTTGAAATACCAGCAGAGTGAGCTTGATTTTTTTTGTGCAAAACCCCCGAGCCAAGGTGATCCAATTCTTGTGTGTTATTCTACCAACTGTCTATGTATAGGGAGGGTTACTGTATGTGGGAATATTCTCTCTCATTTTTGGAGAGAATAATCATCAAGTGGTTAAATTTCTACGAAAAAAAAAATATTTTCAAAAACATAATGCAAAAAAAAAAAAAGATCTTCAGATCATAATTTTACATGTGCTTCAATTGTTAAAAAAAAAGACAAAAAAGCTAAACAAAAACAAGAAAAAAAAACAAGAGACTGTGCTTGTAATGAGTCCAACTAATTTCTCTGAGGATGATGTTCAATTATTGATACCTGAGATTGTAGTTCATACTGTACATGAATACAAATAAAAATTGCAATTCTTCTTTTCCAATAGATTTCATAGAATGTATTATTCAGAGGGAAGTTGTCATCATTTTGCCACCTTTGTCCCATTTGCACATGAAAACGTGTATAAAAATATTCAAACAAAGACGGATTACTAAGCAGCTCCCAGAATGCTGAACTGAGAAGAATGTGCCGTGAAGAAATGTACTGAGCTTATTTTATGGAGGTCAGAGGAGGGAAGTGAAAAAGGAACTGATCTCTCTGTATAATACATGGGAAGTCGGGTTCTTTTATCTACTTTGAATCATTCCATCTGTCTGACAGAATCATTTGATTCATGCATGCAAATTTGAGAATTTCATAACCGACAGCTGAAGAGATGACGGATTTTTGTAGGTCACTGCCAAGTTAGCATCGAACTGGATATCCAATGGGATTTTTCCATTGGATATTTGGATTATTAAGAAAAAACCCAAGTTTATGATATTTACAGTTTTTTTTATTAATCTTATCAAATGAACACCATACTTTGAGTGCGTGCATGCAATGGGCAGTAGTAAAAAGCTGATGCTATAGGCTCACATGAGCATGAGTATACACAACGAGGCAGTAAAGGCGGACTATGATTCCATTTTGTAGTCTCATTTAGCCATTTGTTAGCGACCGCCCTTTTTTCAGACACGTAAGAACTTCAAAATTTCGAAGAGGGGCATTTACTGATGTATTTTATGTCAGAAAACAAAGCATTAAAGTCTCTTAAGCTTGTGTTAACCACAGGCCTTATTTCAGGCATCTAACCAAAAACACATTCAAAAAAACTTCAAGACAAGGGAATCGGTAGTGGAAAAAAATTCCAACACACTTCCAGGTTTTAGGACTTAATACGATGAACAAAGAACCTCACGGAACCTTGTCAGGAACAGAAACAAAAAAAAAAACTACACTCCACTCACCAGGCATTTCAAAATGCATTAGCATTCAATCAATTAAACTGAATATCTGCAGGAAACAATCACGAAAAAAAATACACTTCACTTCAGTGAAGAGACTGCTTTTCATTACAGCATCTCCACTATCCAAATAGCACAAAATGGCTCACAGTCACAATTACCTCTGGGATTTCTCCATTTCATTCGCAGAGTACTTGATGGCCGCCCGGCAAAAATGTTGAGAGGCAATTGGTGCAGGCTTCAATTCAGACACCTAATGGTATGTATGGTCAGCCTCGAACAACGGGATCGTTAATTCATTCGCTGACTGATTACTATTTATTCAGGAGATGAGACACTCCGCCTCGGTGAGAAATGATGCCGCACCCAATTCCGAAACTGAGCCGTAATCTCGTTTGTTTCCAGACAGTATTAGTATGTATACTGTATGTGAGAGATGGAAGTACATTCACAAGCAGTGAATCAGATGATTATTTATTGTCTGTGGCTTTAGAATTGGATGTTATTTTACACACTCCTTTATTTTGCAGAACTTCCATTTTATTCCATTCCATTTTCAGAGTGTTGCACTCGGATGCAGCTCCGTGTCCAGAGAGGGCAAAGTCCCCGTACTTGTGAGGATAATCTGACAAGGACAGAAGAAAGGGGGAAAAATAAAGAGCCCAGGCTGCTCCTCTGTGGCTTTGAGGCTGTGTGCTGGTGTGAAGCACTGGTCATCTGAAATTCGGGAACTAGCCTGCATTCACTGAGGGGGAAAAAAAACACACAAAATCTACAAAACAAACATTATGGCCATTTGCTTTAAGGATATTCAGAGTTTTGTGTTATTTAAAACACTGCTGTTTAACAGTAGACAGTCAAGTCTTAGAAGTTGGAGGTACATAAATATACAACAACACAACAAGCGTCAGCGAGGCATGGAGCAGCCCTGCAGTGGACCTTTTTTAACCAGATAAAGAAAACAGGTGCATTCAGACCAAAACACGAGCATGAAGCAAAACAACACCAGAGGGTTGCTACCGGGACCAGGTTAAAAAAAAAACATCATCTGAAATAAGACACTGCAAGTCCACTCAAGGTTCACCAGAGGTTTATACAAAGCCTGAACAAATAAATGAGCCATCAGCAACATGATCAGCAGAACGGACTTTTCTTCTGCAGAGTCAGTGTGAAAGCGTTGTTAATATCCCGGAGGAAGAAGGAGGGAGCGGCTCTAACTTTGAAGAGAACATTTATAATTTATTTAGAAAAAAATCTATAATATTTATTAAGTAATATAAATTTACTT